AGGAAAAAGAGGAAAATTATGAAAAAGTAAAAAAATTCTATTAAGTATTCTATATTTTTCTATGAGGTTTTATTTAAAAAAAAATCAGTATTAGCACATAATTTTTTTTTCCTTTAGATTAATATTTGTATAAACAAATGTTTTTAAGCTGCTTCAAACACCAACAGTGATTTTGCACCAATCCCAAACACAGTGTAGCATTATGTCAAATCACCTTCTCTCTCTCCTACTCCCACTCTTATCTCTTCTCCTTTCTTTTTCTACATCTTTCCATCTTCTCCCCCACCATAGCCAAACACACAACACAACCCATTAATATTTTAACGAAGCTACCCCAAACTGGCCCTACATTTTGTCTTTCCTTTCTTTCTGTTTCACGTTATGAGATAATGATTTGAACTCCTTAACAGAAACTGCTTCTCACTGCTTTTCCTTCCTTCAGTGTTGCACTTCCTTTCAGCTTCTAACTAAAGAGTAACAGTTGAAGCAGCATACCTTCATGCTTTTTGGTTCTTATCCTCTGCAACCCTGTGTAAGTCATTCCTGTATGTCTCTCTTTCATCGCAAAGAAAAGTTTGCTTTGTTTTTTTCTGGAATTGAGTTCAGAAACCAAACTTTGGTCCTCCCTGCACTTTCTCTTTCCAAGTCACCACTGTTCAGACAACTTTTGCATGAATGTGGTTTTGTTTAGCGACTTTTGATTTTATTTTCTTCTTTTTGAAGCTTAATTCTTATGCGTAATGTCTGTTACGCTTGAGATTGAAGATCTGCAATTGAAGCATGACGTTGGTGACATGCTAATAAATGGTTGTTACTGCATAACAATCAGTTCAGTTCAGGAGGCATTCAACTTCTGTTTTCAGCTTTCTGAACAATTTGAAGGTCCAAACATAGCAGCAATCAACAATTCTGTGACTTCTAGGAGGGAATTAGAAAAATTCAGACAGTATTTGTCTCATTAAGTTAACAAAATAGTTTGTGTTTAGAAGTTTGCTGCTTTTACGTACAGGCGGCCTAAAATTATGGCAACTTACTACCCAAGTTCAAGTAATCAAAGGGGTGCAGTGCCTATGCTGTGTCTTAGGGAGCCTTTGCATAATTCGTATCCCGAGACACCAATTTTGCAAAGCAACATGACATTGTATATGAACTCTGGTTCATACTCTGAAGCATTGCCTGGCAATTCTCAGCAGCAAAGCTATTACTTTGTGATTCCATCACCGTCGGTAGGTGCTTCAAATTCCACTGCTGAGCAGCAAGAAATATTGGCTAATATTGGTGGGTTCCAAACTGAGATTCATGATTTCAATGCATGGAGGGAGGGTAGAACTGAGATGTTAGTCAGACAACCTATGGATGTACAGAACTTGCAAGGTCAGGGGTTATCTCTAAGCCTTGGAACCCACATGCCCTCAGGAATTCAAATCCCTTCTGTCCATGATAAGAATCATAGTTCAAATTTTAATTCGTTTTTGGGTACTAATCCATCACTTTCTGCCAATGAGGTCTACCAAAGTGGTTCATCTAGGGATGCGGGTTTGAGACATTCTGAAAATATTCCTTCTGGGTTGCCTGAAAATAGTCATGATTTGAACAAAGCAGATTTTTCATTTCATGGAATTTCTGGTGTTGGAAGAACGGTTCCTAGCTCCAAATATCTCAAGGCAGTGCAAGAACTGCTTGATGAAGTTGTTGACATCCGACAAGCTGTTAAAAGACCTGAAACGATAAGTCACGGAACACATGAGAACTCTAAGAAGAATTCTAAGGAGGGTGATGAGCAACTAGAAAATGGTGTGCCTAATTCTCAAGCCTCAGCATGTAACTCCTCTTGTGAGTTTTCACATGCTGAAAAACAAGATCTGCACAACAAGTTAGCAAAGCTTCTGTCAATGTTGGATGAGGTACCACCTACTACTTACATGGATTTCCACAGTTCGGTATCTCTGATTTCTTCATACGGTTGACCATGACTATATATATCTTCCAAAGAAAAATGTACATTTTCTTAGAGCATTTATGGTGGCTGTAGCCTTCCCCAAGTTGAATATTTTAAACACCGTCTCTCCTGTGTTTATGTTCATGTGTGTCAGCATTTGTTAAATAAACACACGCTAAACTGTGATAGCTGAGATTGACTTTCTTCCCTAGACTGCACAATGTTCACGTATATTGATAATCATTTTAGCAGTGATTTAAGCACCTTAAAGTATGAAAAGGAAATATGTAATGATATAAGTGCAAATTTGGGATCTATTTTGTGCTTTCGCGTGCTGGCATGGGGTGTGAAAGAAAGAATTTAATTTCTAATGTCCTTACAAGCGATAATATCTTTTATGACTGACATCTATGGAAATAAACCTCTCCTGGTATGCGATAATGAGCATAAGATAATTTGGATAGAACTAATTGTTATTTTTTGTTTTGTTTTATGGGATGGATTTGACTGGCATGCATAATAAAGTAATATTCTCAATCGTTGTTTTTCTTTTTGTGTAATTTAGTACTTAAGATGATGTATCTGATGCCAATTTTATAGTTGAATACATGAAGTTGATAGAAGAGTCTCCTAGATGCATTCTGCTGTTCTTTCTTGCAACAATATAGTTTTAATGGACGCCTGTTAATTTGTGTAGGTTGACAATAGGTACAAACAATATTACCAGCAGATGCAGATTGTGGTGTCATCATTCGATGCGGTAGCAGGATGTGGGGCAGCTAAACCATACACAGTCCTTGCTCTACAAACCATTTCATGCCATTTTCGCTGTTTGCGTGATGCAATTACTGGTCAAATTCGTGCAACAGAAAAGAGCCTTGGGAAGCATGATGCTTCAGGAAGTAATAAAGGAGTTGGAATGGCAAGACTAAAGTATGTGGACCAACAAGTCCGACAACAGAGGGCTCTTCAGCATCTTGGTATGATGCATCATGCATGGAGACCGCAAAGGGGGCTTCCAGAAAGCTCGGTTTCAATTCTTCGCGCATGGCTATTTGAGCATTTCCTTCATCCGTAAACCCTCACATATCAACCTTTGTCTTTTTTCTTTTTTTTTTAACTTTTGGATCCAAGATCATTGTGGTTGTTTAATCTAATTGGATTTTCTGTTTTTCGCAGCTATCCAAAGGATTCCGATAAGAGCATGCTAGCAAGACAGACAGGCTTGACCAGAAGTCAGGTATAAAAACGAAAATGCTTTTAGCAACTTGATTCATAGTGCTTCTTTGTGCCCGTGCCCGTGCCCCTCTTGTTGCATGAAATTATTTGTCTAGAAGAACTCTAGAGGAGGATATTTTTATGTATTTGAATTTTGCTTGAATTAGGTCTCAAATTGGTTCATCAATGCTCGTGTGCGTCTATGGAAGCCTATGATTGAGGATATGTACAAGCAAGATGTTTCTGATGCTGGCATGGACTCAAGTTCTTCATCTGAAAATGTCTCCAAGGCAACAAAAAGTGATGTCAAGACCGTCAATGATACTGGTGATGATTCTCAGCATTGTAAAAGTCCAATAGTAACCAATACAACTTACAGTGGTGGACAAGCTAAGGACCTTAGATATGATCAGGTTCTTGATACAGAAATCATGACATCCACTGCATTATCTAGTCTCTTAAGTGGTCATGAGGCTGAAACCAAACATAGGTCAGGAAAGCAGACTGGGGAGAAAAAGCCAAATTTGGATAATTGTGGTCTCTTCCCTGATAACATGGTTGTTCAGTCTGATGAAGCTACTAATGACAGGTTTGTGGCAGTTGGTCCAACATGCCAAATGTCTGAGTTTGAGAGATTCAAGTCAGGACGTGGAGTGTCTCTAACATTGGGTTTGCAACATTGTGAAGGAGGTAATTTTTTGCCCGGTGAGACCCATCTCAGTTTGGTTTCCATGAGGGAGAATGACATCTACTGCAGCGCAGCAGAACTTGGGTGCATTGGTCCCGGAAACCAGCGGCAAAGGTTCAGTTGACCTCATGTTACATGATTTTGTGGTATGAGGATAATCTGTTGCAATCATTCTGTGAATGGTAACTGCTGATGTTGGGACCATTTTGCACACAATGAGTCATAGAAGGAACTCAGTGGTCCCTCAAGGGATGATAGGACTGACAAAAACAGAGTTGTATGATATCCTGAAATTTTTTGGGAAGATCTACATCTTATGGTTAATGTGTAGAAGGAAACATGTATATTTAGGTCCATTTCTGCAGTGAAGAAATTAAGAAACATATGAAAATGGTAATAATAAGTTGATTGGCTGACTCTGTATCATTGTCGCAATTTAGTTCATCGATACCAACAACAACAATAACAAAGCCCTTTTCGATTAGATAGGTCAGTAGCAGGCATTATTAGACACCATAAATTTGTGTTGTGTATTAAGAATATAAATAGACCATTTATCACTGAACTTTTCTTATTGGTTTGACTTTATAGTTTTTCTCATCTGATTCTACCCTATGCTATTTGACTCTGGTGGGAATTCATTGTTGTTCTCAAGAAAAATTGTTTTCCTTATGCCTTTGCGCGTAGCACAATTGTTATTCATATCGATCTGATGTCTTGTTTCCTGGATTACATCTGCCTATTATTTATTTTTAACAGAGAAGGACAATTCCAGGAATTGGAATTGCCAGCTGTTACAGAATCCCCACAATGCATAGAGAGTTAGAACTGATACACGGATCATGAAACTTTGCCGATTATCTTTTACTTAAAACCATCACATTATCATTTTCACTAAAAATCTCAAAGGAATCATATCCCACACTGATTGAATTGGGATAGCATCCAACAGTGGGGGCAAGGAGAAAGAATGGGAAAGATGATAGATTTTTATTTCAACTTTCTAGAATGATACAATGAAAACCGCATACAAGCGTGAACACTTGTGCTTTAATAATAAAATGACATAAACTTAAATAAATATATACAGGGGCATCGGAAGATGATGATAGCATATGGACTGAATTTGAGCTACAAATGGGAGTAAATAAAATTCTAGACGTTGACGAATGGAGTGGTTAATTGAGTGCAACTTGGTGCCCTTCTGCAAGGATACGGAGCAGGATTGAGCAACTCCTTCATGTGAGGACGTTTCTTCCTTTTCTTTGCATCAGGGTGTTCTGGTTTCTTCAAATCCTCCACAGAGTGTACATCCTCCATGCAAACAAATGACCTTGATTTACCTGAGTAATACCTCGATAACCCTCTCCTGGGCATGCATGTAAACAAATTCACAAACTATACATGTATGTATACTCTTACAATCAAATTTTCATATACAAAAAGTGCATTAATTAATACTTCAAGAAATGCTCTTACTTTTGTGGAAAGCTAGTTCCAAGTGAGCCCATGTTGAATATCAAGTTGTCAATTTCTTTCTCCATATTGATGAGAGGGGATGAAAGATGAAAAAGGTATGTGAAGCTCATTTGTTCAGGATATGGTTTGGTTTGGGGATGAATAAATATTGTAGGTTTTGCATAAAATCTTCACTCGTTATGTTTGGTGCATATAGACAAAGGGTTATGACCACATCCTTTTCTACACTTCCTCTTGATCATTCAAGATGCTACTATTTTTGGCTGAATACGTGCACGTAAACCTCTACCCTCCTTTCTCTTAATTTCTCGTTATAGCATGTTACTACACCACCCTTCACATGCGCAAATAAAAATATACACCAATAAAGAATCGCAAAAGAAGAGTAGGTGCTACAACCATCCATTTTAGATACCAAATAAAGCTTTGGCATGCTCACATCACTGACGTACGTATATTTTAAAACATTAAAACTAAAGGATATGTTTGCATAAATTTATAAATATTTTTAAAGGAGAAAAAATAAAATGAACTAAATTTTATTAAAAATTAAAATTAACTTAGAAAATAAAAATGTAAAGAAATGATAAAAGAGTAATTAAATGTTTTAATGAAGAGTTACCCTACTTAATTTTATAAAATGTTATAAAATGGTATAGCAAAAGGAAGTTTATATATATTAAAGAGGATTTTTAATTTATTATCATACTCTCTTATCTGATAAAATTTTTTATATTAAAATATCGTTAGAATTGACTTCGATATAATCTTAAATATAATAAAGTATTTAATTTAATCTTATAAAATGGGTTAAATAAGTATTGTATTTAACTCATTAATGCAGAAGAGACTTTTTACATCACCTAATTAGCATTGGTTAAAAAAAAAATTCAACTTAAAGACAGCACAGTAACAATTTTGTAAATAATAGGCGCAAATCTAGAAGAGACCGATGTAAAAGTCGTTTTTTACATCGGACCAGTATTCACCCAACGTAAAAAGCGACTTCTATGTCGGTTTCTTCTTGGTTCGATGTAAAAGTCGCATTATGCGATGATAAATTTGTAAATAGTGGGCACAAGCTTTACGTCGGACCACTGACGTAGAAGTCACTTTTTACGTTGAACCACTATTCACCTGACGTAAAAGTCGCGTTTTAATCACCAGGAGCTTCTTTTTCCCTCCTGTGTGCGAGGATTTTTGAGTGACGATGACGACAACGACAAAACTAGCTCCTCTCAAGGTATATTTTGATCATAGGGAGTGACAAAAATGCATTCATTGTGTCCCATTTGTGGTGGTTGACATTTCTCTTCAATTAAATTTGGGAGTATTTTTTGTATATTTGAGGTTAGTATTCTATGTGTATCGTCTCCTCTTTTATGTTGAGATTGAATGTTTCCACAAAATTGTTATTGAATTTGAATTGTTATAGTTTGTGATTATCCGTTTTATACTTATTATTGTTGTAATTTGTAATATATATTACAAGTACAATATACTGGGGTTTAGGTTTAGGGTTTTATGATGAAAAGAAAATGGAAAATGTTCGAAGTAAGATAACTTTTGACTGAGATGTCAAATTTGGATGCACAACATATCAAAATGAAGAGAAAAAAGCGAAGAAGAAGGGGCAAATCCCCTTGGAGATTTGCCCCAATAGTTTTTTCAAAATATGTTCCTAAGCACATATAATTCACAAATGTTTGTGTTTGTGTGGGTATAAATAATTCTTGGACAGAGGTAACTACTTTCAATATTTGTTAAGTTCATTTACTTTTGTGTGTATTGCATAATAGGAGTCAAATTGATATTCCAGGTATTTCAAGATTCATCAATCTCCACTATCAGAGCATGATATTACACAAAGTAGAGAATAAAGAATAAAGTTTTTTGTTCAACAATTCTAGTACTTAATTTGTAGGTTATTGTTTGTATTATATTGTATTGTATTATGTAGTTTAGTTTTTGTACTAGCTTTTAATATAGACAAAATAAACCTCTCGACTGTTTGGTATTAAAATATGTATGCAGGTTTTGGTTGTAAGACAAAATAAATCCAATAATGAAAAAAAAAACGAAATTTATGTCAGACCAAGTTAGTCTGACGTAAATTTCGCCCCATTTTAAAAAATTTTAAAAACATTTTATGTCTATTTTATGATTTATCCAATGTAAATTAACGTCAATTCTCGATATAACTAACATGAATTTACGTCAGTCATAAGAGTCAACGTAAATTTACATCTTCTGTATTAACGTCGGTTTAAAAAATCCAAATTAACTGACATAAAAAAAACCATTTTACATTAATGACTATATATTAAATAATATTATATGATAATATTACCGTATGTTTGATCTATTAAACTTCTAAACTTCAAAACATATTTTCCTTGATTGTTCTATGGGTGTGAGGTTATGGTGCTGACCTAGAAGATGCCTCAATTGGTCTATTAACACTACTTCATTAGATTTTGTTTTGGAAGCTCCGCCGGAAAACCAATGACCAAGCCAAAATTGTAATTCAGACATATTAAGTGCAGCTGATATGCTTTGAGAATGGTAACATATACGATGACGTTGAGTCATGAGTTGATGAATTTAAAAGCTTTCGGTGGAATTTCATCCTAGTAAGACACTAGATATCTATCAATTCCTTTTGCTATATATCTTCTCTTATCTTGTTATTAAGTTAAATATAACACAGATTATTAAATCTTTCAATTAGTTATAAAATTAATGCATAAAATATAAATTAGTGTAAATAAGTTATCATAATGTAAACTACAATTCATATAAAAAATACGTATTTATTATAAGTACGTAATATGTATATTTAAAAATCCTAATTACATAAAACTGAGCATTTTCCCTAGCTAATGAAAATAACAAAATAGAAATATAATTTATCATCATACATAACAGTAAAAAAAAACGTTTTTTTTTTTAACAAAAGTAAATACATATATATATATATATATATATATATTTTTTTTTCTTTTCTTTTCTTTTAACTTTCTTGGAGTGGCTGTGGCGGGAAGCGAAGTTCTTTAAATATGGTTTCAAATTTAGTTGGCGAAGATGAAAGAAAGAATAGCATAGCAGAGAGAGAGAGAGAGAGAGAGAGAGAGAGTTAGTTCGTTGGTTGGTTGTTCGTCGTCGTGTGTAACCGAGAGATGTCGAACGAGACAGACGAAACTGAACGCCGTCGTTCGGCGGAGGCGGAGTATCGCAAGAAGCTTTCCGATCTCAAAGATGTCAAAGCCTATATTCATTTGGGTCCCCAACCAACCCCATTTCTTTTCTTTGTCTTTTTTCACCTTCAAGTTTTACTCAATTTCAAATCTTTTTTAATCTTTTCTGCATTCATTGTTTGTTTTTGGAATTACGTTATACTCAGCCAAAATGGATAAGAAGATTTTAGAGGACGAACTTGCAGAAACTGAGAAAGAGCTCGAACACTTAAGGGGTTGTGGCTATCAAGTTGCTCATGTTATAAAACCTTATGACAATGGACGCTGTAAGCATGCATGCATGCATAGAACTTGTTTTTACGTTTCAAGATTCAACAAATAAATAGCTTATTACATTATGCTTTATTGGTTAGATGAATTGAGCAGTGTAAGCTATTTTGTTCCTTTCAGTTATAGTAGACGCAAAAGTTAGTAGATATATAGCTGACTGTAGTAGTAAGTTGGACAAGGAGAAGATAAAGGCAGAAACAAGAGTTTTCCTGGACAACAGGACGATGACGATTATGGGAATTCTTCCGCCGGAAGTATATTTATAATATATTATTCTTGGATTGGATTGTTTATTTTGTTTGGATAATTACCATTCTACAATAATGCATGCATTCATAGTACTATTTTATTATTTGTCAGCTTGATCCTGAGGTGCAGAATATGCTTGTTGAAGCCCCAGGAAACATTACTTTCGATGCACTTGGCGGGCTTTCAGATCAGATTCAACAACTCAGGGAATCGATTGAACTGCCATTATTGAATCCTGAGATTTTCCGAACGGTTGGAGTCAGACCCCACAAGGTATATTATATACATGGATGTTTAATCTTGGAAAACATTTGGTATGAATAAATTAAGATTAATGATTTGTCAAATGAAAGTACTGAATCTGCTTCTAACATACAATGCAGAGTGTTCTTCTTTATGGACCTCCTGGAAACGGGAAGACATTCTTAGCCAGAGCAATTGCCAGCAACATTGGTGCTAAATTCATGAAGGTTTTATTCTTTGTTCTTTTTACCAACTGCCTAATGGGGATTCCTAATAAAAAAGGTACCTTTTTTTTTTTTTAATTTCAGGTTGTAGCTAGTGCTCTTTTGATCGGATGTCATGGTGAAGGCGCAAGATTAATTAGGGCAATGTTTAGATATGCTCGCGAGCATCAGGTGTCGGAAACTTCCATAGCAAAAAGAATAAAAGATTTTTTTTTCCATGGCCAAATTGATTTTTACTGTTTGCATCGTTTTGCTTAGCCTTGCATCATATTCATAGATGAGATTGATGCCATTGGTGGACGACGTTTGGCCATGGGCTCATCTGGTGATCGTGAAGTTCAAAGAATCCTCGTGGAGCTGCTTCAGCAGATTGATGGATTTAATGAGTTTGACCAGGTGATTTTGCTGTTGTATGTTCATAGTTCATGATGCATAGGGTTTATGGAATAGTATTTGTTAAAGTTTGATGTTGTATTTATTATCCAGGTGAAAGTCATTATGGCTACAGATAGGCGTGATACTCTTGATCCAACCCTTCTTCGCCCGGGTCGAATTGATAGGCAAATAGAATTTCCATTACCAAATAAGCATGCAAGGATGCAAATCCTCCATATACATTCTGCTGAAATTGCTAAAGAGGGTGAAATTGACTATGAAGCTGTTGTTAATCTTTCTGAGGTATGTATATAGTATGAAGGATACCTATGCATGCGTGTTTGAAGTATTACTCTGCATTTTTTTTTTTCTGATGGTTTTGTTTGACTTTAGGGATTCAATGGTGCCGATCTTCGTAATGTTTGCACGGAAGCTGGTTTGTCAGCGCTTCGTGCTGACCGTGATTGCGTGATTAATGAAGATTTCATGAAGGTAAAGTGTTTACATTTGATGACAGGATGTAATTTTTGGGGGTGGGACAACCACGTATGATAAATCCATAATGCAAGTCTTTGTGTTGTGAACCTCAGGCTGTGCGCAAATTGATTGAAGCAAAGACACCGGAATCAAGTCCCTGTTATTAAAAATGGAATTGTTGTTGGCACTTAGCACAGATGTTTATCTGGTTGCGACCCAAAGGAGTTGTGGAGCAATGAACTACACACCCTTTCATTCTTTGCATTCTTAAGGTTTTCATTAGCTCAGCAGTTTACTTTGCATTAGTCATAGGTTCCGACATCACTTTCTGGAGTCCCAACACGCAGTTGTGGAATTGAAGAAAATTTAGCTTCAAATGGAAACTGTATTGCGGTGAATGAAATATAACGCGAATTTTGTCGCCGATTAACTTTCCTTTACTTTCTGGTGTCTGTTAAGTTTGCATTTGCTTATCATGATTCATGACAACCGATTCCAGACTTTCTTAATTATTTCGTCTGCGGCCCATCCCCATAAGAATTGAAAATTTAAGACTCCATCCTTCTGTTCCTCGTTGTTATACATTATTGTTTTAACATATGTAAAAAAATATTTAATTATTTTTTATAACATTATTATTATTATTATTATTATACATTGTATTCAAATTTTTAATTATGAATTAATTATTTTTTAAATTATTATTTTAAATATTAATGAATATAAAATATATCCTTTATTTAATAAATTAATTCTTATTTAATTAATATAAAATAATAAAAATGTAATTATCAATTTTTATTAAATCTTTAAAATAATAATTATTTAATTAAAATAAAATTTGATATGTGATAAATAGGATTAATAAAATCTATAAAATATTACATAATAAATGCTAATAAAGTAAAAATAAAATAATACTATATACTACTCAAATTAATGCAAAACATTTAGAGAAAATAAAAAAATTATCTTTATTTATCTAATTGATTGAAGAAATTAAAAAAATTATGATAAAAATAGTGTATTTAATTGATTAGTTAAAAAATTGGAAAAGATAAAAAAGTAAATAGGTAAAAAAAAAAAGCTAGTAAAAATATAAAGTAAATAAAAATATGAGAAAGAAAAAAAAAACTAGAGTTTAGATTTAAATATAAATTGGGATAGAAGAAATAGAGTGATGATTGGATTTCTCCGCCTCCAATTTTTCAATTTTTTAAAATGGAAAAAATCAGAACCCACAACCAATTAACTTAGTTTTTCCCGAAGGGATGGATCTATCGGTGTGGGTGCAGATTTAGTTTCCATCCTTACTTATCAGGTTTGAATAGTTCATAACCATCCAGCTGAGACAGATTAATTTGTGCAAGACATTCAAGATTCTGAGTACACGGATTTCAACTTAAATAAACGCCGAAAAATGGTACGAATAATACATGCACATCTGAACAACGTACTGAAGATTAATTCAAGCTATACTTCCACTGCAATGAATCTAGAGCTTGTTGATGAATCTGTTTGTCCCCCGCAGCCACAACATTAAAACCTGCCACGTGAGATATGTGATAAAAATTTCATAGGGTTCCATTAATTTTAAAGGTGGCAGTAGACCAAGAAAATATATTAAGACTGACTTTGAAATTAGACCAAAGGATACATACTTGTTGCGATTGAAAGTGGAGAAGCTTCCCAAAACAGTTGATCTCCTTTCCAATCGGTTATGACACCTCCAGCACCTTCAATAACAGGTACCAATGCAAGAAAATCGTATGGCTGAAATTCAAATTTCCAAAACAAATATTGTTTTAACCATCTTGGGGCCTTGGTCTACATGTGTCAAAAGTTTCAAAAGTTAAACATGCAACCAAAGGTGTGAGCATACCTTCAAACCAGACTCAACAACAAGATCCACAAAACCGGAAGACAAAAGAGCATATGCATAGCAGTCACAGCCGTATAATGGAATTTTAACCTGTAAAGGTTCAAAAAGGAATAACCGGATGACAATAATATATACATATATATTGGAAAACAGCCTTTGGCAATGTCTGATGCAGTCTTCTTACTTTCTAAGTTAGATGTTAATGTACATAGAGACATAACAAAGCAGAAGACATACGATATAATAATGTTAACTAAGTCAGATATATAAAAGGTCCAAATTATTATGCTGTCTTAGGTCCACATTCTGTGCGAGTATTTCGGCAGGTTGGTTTTGAAATGGTGAAAAAGTTGTTGTAAGTAATGTGCACAGGTTCTAAAATCAAATTAAATGTAGTTTCAGCAAAAATACAATAACAGCAAAAGTTGTTGATCTCCCATGGTTTTCTCATAGATGATTCAAATCCTTTCACCATTCTTCTTTACAACAATCTTAATAGATTTCAAATCCTTTTACCATTCTTCTTTACAACAATCTTATTGAAGAACGACATGGTTACTTTGCAGCAATGTTCTATGTCGATCTTGTCTTACTTCGCTGAAATACGTTCTCTGCTTGAAAGGTTATCTGAACTCAAACACAAGTGGATTAATGTGCACTAACCCTGTTTGATTTGAACTTGTGATCAATGCTTCAGTAGGAAATTAAACAGTTTTAAGTTTGGAGAAGAGCACGACTCAAACTAAATATTCTAACGGTATATTTCATCCTTTTATGATATTATGGGGAGTCCCTTTATGTTAAAAATGTGACAGACCTTGCTTCTAACACGGATGAATGCCTCTTCTGCATCTCCACTGAACAGATGTGGGCTTGTGGTGTACCTATATAGGAAAAAAATGAGATTCGATTTGATACCTGCTTTGTAGACCTATGCTACCTATGACTAAAGCTGCAAATAATGAAAATAAACGTAAACTACTTTCTAGCAACCTTCTTTTCTCTGTTCCGATCAAGATCAGGAAATAATTCATAATAAAGTTTCTAAGGAAAAAGAAGAAAAGTATACAAGTATGCTTGAGAAAGGTCTGCACAAGTGCGTGTAGATATTTCTTCTCCATTGAGTGTAGTTCTCTTTCCAGTTATCCCGATCCACCTTTCTTTTAACACAGGTTGATCAACTATGCCAAGAATCTATTGAAAAGGAAACCAAACTTAACAACATAAAGTTTTTGACTTGATTAACTGAAAATGATGACAAAATCAATTTCAATTTCATCTGCACTTTGTCTATAATAGCTATGTTGGTAAAAAAAAAACAAGTATCACTTACAATCCGGAAGTGTATCAGTTAATAAAAAAATGCAGTCAATTGATGTTGACATTGTGCATCGTTTTCTTTTCATTTGTTTTCATATTGTAATATATAATGAAAAAAGAGTCAGTTTTGTTTAAAATATTTACGAAATCAAGATGATTGAACATCCAACTTTCTCATTCCTAAGTAAGAAAGTTGTAATAATTTGTGATGCAGTTCTAGGAAAATAAAGTGTAAATGGGTTACATTCAAGTTGTAATAGATACTAACTGGTGTTCCATTTTGTAGAAGAGCAATGAGAGTACCAAACACGGGTTTCCCTGAAATGGACACGAAACAAGCAGAGTCAAGGTGAAATTTGGGAACTCTGACCCAATAATAATAATAATAAAAGCATGAAAGAAAATTACCCGTAATAAAACTCTTTGTCCCATCTATGGGATCTAATACCCAAACATAATCTGCAGTATTTTCTTTACACCTCCACCCCTTTTCCTCTCCATAACTGCAATTCAGTGAAAAATCCAGGGTTGAGCTTCAGTTACAGAATCTACCATCCAATTGCACTTATGGATTATGCCATGGATTCGGCTGGCTGGTAACTCGTGCACATAAGCATCAATGAAACAGAACCTTACACATTTTTCTCTTGTTTAGTTGTAAATTAAATTGCATAATTACAATACAAATTTCGATCTAAATAATGGAGCATTGATAAACTCAAGTTTTCTAATAGTAAATCCCTCAATTCATTTCAATGATGTTAATATTTCAGTTACTGTACTACAACGAATTGAATTCTATGCAATGTAACTGCAACACTCAACCAATAATGATGTCATTCTCTTCAGTTCATATTTTCTTAAAAAAAATTGTGTTTTTAGTTTCGGTACTTTTGATACTTTCATAGTGATGAATTTGGTCTTCAAACCTTAGACAACATGTCAACTTAGTCTCTCCTAACTGACTAACTAACTAACTAACTATATATATATATATATATATATATATATATATATATATATAGATAGAGAGAGAGAGAGAGAGAGAGAGAGTGAGATGAGTTCTCAGAGAAGATAAACCAAAATCACATGTTTTGTAGTACCAAATTCATCGATACAAAATCACATTTGACCAAAACAATAAGAACTAATAACACATTTTCACCAAAATAGAATCCACACAATTACTAGCAAAAACAAGAAGATGATAGGATTAAATAATTACATTGCATGAGAAGGGAAATTGTCTAGTATGATTGAAACCATAGCCTCCTCAGCCGATTGATCTGCAATGGTTACTGGACCTGCAACATTTTAGTAAAAGCACAGACCATAAGCATTCAGGTAAAAAGAAAAATCACTTTAAAAGTGAAAGGGTTAAAAATGAAAAAGAAGAGGACAAGTATCTGACTAAGATCATGTTTGTGAACAACGTCGAAGTTCTTCTTCCGGAAGTATTTGCGGATAACTTCTCCGGCAGCATCGGCGACTTTGTTACCGACCTCGGCAAAGCTATTGAGTTGAAGAGGCGTGGTTTGGGGAGCCATGGCTCTGAGACGGAAGGTTGAGCAGAGAGAATAATTGGATATTGGGGAGTGAGAGAGAAAATTGCACTGTGATAACATTGCACTGCAATTGCAACAATCCAAAATCAATCTCAATATCTTTCCCTTCAAAAACAAGACATGCTTCACTCAGAGATACCAAAACCCAGAAAAACAAAGGAGAAGGATTTTTCCATTCGTGTTTTACTCTCAACTTTTTTTTTTTTATGTCATTTTCACAATAAATACGGCGACGTCTCAATTTTATAATCGAATATTTAAATTATATTTTCCTTCTCTCGTAGATAAAAAATTACATGTCTGTTAGCCTTAATATTTATATTCTTTATGTAATATTATTTCTAACAGACGTATATTTATAATTTATTTTATTTTGTTGAATTTTTCAAATTTTAAAAATAAAAAATTACATGTCTGTTAGCCTTAATATTTATATTCTTTATGTAATATTATTTCTAACAGACGTATATTTATAATTTATTTTATTTTGTTGAATTTTTCAATTTTTAAAAATAATTTTAATAAATAAGTTAGTTAGAAAAAAACTTGAGAAAATAATATTGTTTTCAAAAGTGATTTTAAAATTAAAATAAAAGTTTATTTGATTATAACATTTTTTATTAATTATTTTTTTAACAAATACATTTTAATATATTTTTTAATAATTAATTTTAACATAATATTTAATAAGGAACCATAAAGAAGATAAAACCTTTGAATTCGTATACTTTTCATTAAAATAGAAAAAAATATTTATTGTTTATTAATCATATAAAAATAAATTGAAAAAAAAAAAACATATTCAAGTAAAAACATTCCTTGCAAAAAATTGATTTGACTCTGATTTTAATTAAAAAATCTTAGAAGAATTTGAAAAGGAAGAAAAAAATGTTTTTATAAAGAAACCCTCGGTTTTAAATAAAAACACACAAAAAATGATATTTTTTAAATTATTTGTCATTTATAAAAGATAGTTTTTTATGTATATTATTTATATTATTTGATAATTTTGTTTTATCTTTCTTATCTATTATTTGTAGTCAAAATTAAAAAAATAAAATAAAAATCAATTTTCTAAAAAATCGATTTTCTAAAAAAAAAACAGTTTTCTGAAAAAAAAAACTTAAATATTTTAATTAATATTTTTGGGCAACAAAAATTTGTAACTCATTAACTCATTTTGTTAGTCAAAACTTGAAAATATTTTTTTATTTTTCATTTTTATTATAAAAATTGTGTACCTATACATATTATTTGATAATTTTTTTTATCTTTCTCGTTTAATTTTTTAGTAAAAATTTGAAAATAATTAAAAAATAAATTTTAAAAAAGCGTCTATTTTTTATAAAAAACCGGTTTTTCTGAAACAATGTGTTTTTTTTTTAAATCTGAAATAATCGGTTTTCACAAAAAAAAACAAAAGGTTTTCTAAAAAAAAGAAAAATGGTTTTCAGAAAAAAGAAAATCCTGAATCTTTAAATCGAAATTTTGGCCAAAGGTTTGAAATTCATTAGTGTTGAATATAGAGAAAATAGGGTTTGAAATTAATTTTCCTTGTGTATAAATCACACATAGGGTGATCTATTTATAGTAAAGAGATACTAACTAAAAGAGTAGCGAAAGTAATAGAATAACAGAAGATATTGTTTGATATTGTGGTTACCAATATCTAACAATATCTTAACAATATCAAGTAATATCTAAACAATATCTAACACTCCCCTCAAGTTGGAGCATACAAATCGTATGTGTCAAGCTTATTACAAATATAATCAATTCTAGGACTCAGTAAAGATTTAGTAAAAATATCTATTAACTGATCACTTGAGTTAACAAACTCAGTCTTGATATCTCCAGACATAATCTTTTCTCGAATAAAATGACAGATCAATCTCAATGTGTTTGATCCTCTCATGAAAGACAAGATTAGAACTAATATGAAGAAGCGATCTGATTGTCACACACAAGTGTCATTTGAGTGACATCTCCAAATTGTAACTCTCTAAGCAATTGCTTGAGCCAAACAAGTTCAAAGGAAGCTAAGGCCATAGCTCTATATTCCGCTTCGCACCTGGATCTTGCCACAACACTTTGTTTCTTACTTTTCCATGAAATCAAGTTACCACCAATGGAGACACAATATCCGGATGTAGATCTTCTATCCGAAGGAGATCCCGCCCAATCAGCATTCGAGTAGCAAACAACTCTTGTATGGTTATTAGAACCATATAACAATCCTTTTCCAAGAGATCCTTTAATATACTTCAAGATACGAATGATCGCATTCCAATGATCTTCACATGGTGAATTAAGAAATTGACTTACCACACTAACTCGCAAAGGAAATGTCGGGACGAGTAATTGTAAGATAATTCAATTTTCCAACCAATCTTCTATACTCGCTCAGGATCGGATATAGGCTCCCCCGATTTGGTAGAAGTTTAGTATTGGGATCCATGGGTGTATCAACGAGACTTTGAACTCATCAACCCAGTTTCCTCCAAAATATCTATGGCATACTTCCTCCGAGATATAACAATACCATCATTGGACTGTGCTACCTCAATACCCAAGAAATATCTAAGTTTGTCAAGATCTTTGGTCTGAAAATGGTGACAGAGATGTTGTTTCAACTGAGAGATGCCATGGTTGTCACTACCTGTAAGAACAATGTCATCAACATATACTATCAAGTAAACACATCCAGCACTCGAGTGTCGATAAAAGACAGAATGATCTGATTCACACCGAGTCATACCAAATTATTGAACAACCTTGCTAAACTTTCCAAACCAAGCCCTAGGAGACTATTTTAGGCCATATAGGGATTTGCGAAGACGACATACCATCCCAGAAGACTCCTCCTGAGCAATAAACCCAGGAGGTTTCTCCATATATATTTCTTCTTGCAAATCACCATTGAGGAAAGCATTTTTAACATCCAGTTGATAAAGAGGCCATTGTTGAAGAGCAGCCATGACGATAAATAAACGAACAGAAGCCATCGTTGCCACAGGGGAAAAGGTATCTCCATAATCCAACCCAAAAATTTGAGTATATCCTTTGGCCACAAGACGAGCTTTGAGGCGATCAATAGTACCATCAGGTCCAACTTTGATAGCAAACACCCATTTGCAACCAACAACAGATTTCCCAGACGGTAACGAGACCAATTCCCAAGTTCCACTATTATGAAGAGCACTTAGTTCATCTAACATGGCCTGACGCCAACCAGGATGGGCTAAAGCTTCACGAGCAGCTTTTGGAATGGTCACGGAAGAAATAGAGGAAAGACATGTATAAAAAGGTAATGACAGTCGATGATAACTCAAAGCAATATAATGGGGAGAGGGATTACGTGTAGAACGAATACCTTTTCGGAGGGCAATGGGAAGGTCAGACTCATGTGTCAGATTCGGAGGAGACAGAGTAGTTGACACTTGAGTAGAGTCACATGGTGGTGGTTGTGATTGGTTTCGAGAACTATAAATCTGAAGAGCAGTGGAGAAGAAGCTAACTGCAGAGCAGGAACTAATGGTGAAGAAGACACAGTTAGAGGGTCACAAACAACAGGAACATTAAATGTATTAGGAGTGTTGACAGGATTGGATGGAGACAGAGGTGAAGTTTGACTTTTAAAATAAAGAGACAACTCATCAAAGGTGACATCTTTTGACACAAAATAACGGTTAAGAGAAGGAGAAAAATATTTGTATCCTTTTTGTGATCTTGTAAACCCTAAGAAAACACATTTATGTGATCTAGGAGAAAGTTTGTCAAGACCAGAACTGAAATTATGAACAAAACATGTAGACCCAAAAACTTTCAGAGCTAAAGGATGAAGTGGTTCATGAGGGAATAAAATGGAATGAGGTATTTTATTATCTAAAACCGAAGAAGGCATGCGATTAATGAGATAACATGCAGTAAGAAGAGCATCACCCCAAAAATGTTGAGGAACATCTCCATGAATTAAAAGTGTGCGAGTTGTTTCAATAAGATGTATATTTTTACATTCAGCTACACCATTTTGTTGAGGTGTATAAGCACAAGAAGTTTGATGCAAAATACCGTGAGAAACCATGAATTGTTTAAAAGAATGAGAAAGATATTCACGACCATTATCACTACGCAAAACTCTAATAGAAACACCGAACTGAGTTTGAATTTCATTAAAAAAAGTTTGAAAGATATGAAATAATTCAGAACGATTTTTCATCAAAAATAACCAAGTGCATCTGGAATAATCATCAATGAAAGTAACAAAGTATTGAAAACCTAAAGTAGACTTAACGCGGCTAGGTCCCCAAATGTCAGAGTGAACCACGGCAAAAGGGGACGAAGCACCACGTGTGAAACCACGAGGAAAGGAAGTACGACTATGCTTGCCTAATTGACATGACTCACACGCCAAACTAGATAAGTTAGACAAGGCAGGGACAAGTTTCTGTAACTTGGCAAGACTTGGATGACCTAACCGAGCATGAAGAAGAGAGGGAGACTCCATAACTCGTACTAACATGTGTAGAGGGACAAATATAATAAAGACCATGAGACTCACATCCTGTGCCAATCACTCGTTTCGAACTCCGGTCTTGTAAACACACGAATTGTTGGTAAAAGTAACAACACAATCAAGAGAATGAGTTAGACGATCGATGGACAACAGGTTAAAAGGAGACCCAGGGACATAAAGAACATTATCAATGGTTAAAGAAGGAAAAAGTTTAACCGTTCCAACACCATGAGATGATACTCTAGAGCCATCGACCAATGTAACGAAGGTAAATGATTAGGAGAGGATAAAGAGGAGAACAAAGATTTGTTACCGATAATATGATCAATGGCTCCTGAATCAAAAACCCAAGGACCAGGAGAAAATGATTGGGTCGGACCAACGAAAATATGTATTTGTATGTGTGACAGATATAGTGGAACTAGAAGACTGTTGATCCTTATACCATTCGAGAAATTTGTTGAACATAGCAGACATGTCGGATGCAACAGAAGAAGGAAGATCCCCTGCAGATAAAGGTGGGGAAAGATTGGTCTGAACAACT